ATCTGCTTTGGAATCATTATGATCTGTTGTGTGATACCTATTGCTTGCTTCGCTATTGCTTATGTAGTGGATAGCATGTATCGCACTTCATACGTACCAAAGATGCGAGTATCGATGAACAATGTCTTTGCTAAAAATCGAGATGAGAAACATTTCGTATCTACCATCGAAACAATCTCGATGTGATCAAAATTCCATTACAAAGAATTATTTTTGAGCATAGCCAATCGATTCTGTAAAATAAGTATTGATTTCAAATATCGTGTACTCATATATGAAGAAAATACTTCACAATACCACTCATCATCATATGTCATCCCTTCTCTGTATTTTATACATAGTAACCATGTGACACTATTCTCTTTCATTGCTTTCGCACTGTAGCCACAATGGTGGCACGATTGAAGTATAATGGGATACGTGGATAACTGAATTGATTTTTTGTTATCTTTTTTTCAATGCATATTTTGGTGTGATTTGTATTCTCAATTTAGGATGTGGGTGTGGGTGCCTTATTCATACATACCCACACCCCACCCCACACCAACATCCACAACCCACATTCACTCACACCCACACCCACACACCCTTTGTATGTGGTTGGGTATATCCGTTCAGCTAACATCAGATGAACATGGTATCTATAAATAGTGCACATATGTTGCAAAGTCTATTCTCGTAAGGTACTTACAGAACATTTTCTTTTTGATCTTCTGTAAAAATGATAGGCGAACGACCAACATGACCACGTTTTTGTGATGGTTTAGCAACAGGTATGAATATTGTTGTGGTAATATCGGATGCAGCAGAAGTTGTTGATGATGGTGATCTTGATCTGGCACGTGGATTTCGAAGTCGAAGAGTTGCTCGAATCGTCGCATCTTCTTTGTCTTGTTTTTCTTGATCTCGTTTCTTCTGTAATTCAATCAATTCGTTTTCTTTCTCCAACAGCTCCCTTTCCTGCTCTCTTATTTTTCTCTTTAGTCTTTCAACTGATCTCATTGAAATACCAAGAATAGATTTAATACGATCATTTACGTTATTCAGTGGGATGCAGCAACCATTTTTTTCACGTTCTACAAATTTGATCATATTAAACATTATTTGTTTCGTGTCCTGTGAGAAATCATGACCTGTTGGCATCTTATCGATCAGTGAACTTTATCTAAAACGTCTAATACAATACGTCTCTGTGAAGACATCGTTTATTCCCAAAGAAACTTTAAAAAAAGCAACCATAAAACAAAAATGAGAAAGAAAAAAATGCGCTCACACAATACAAAACAAATGATCATATGCATCCCTCTTGTCCAAGGCAGTATCTCGTCTATATATCGCATACTTGCGATCCATTCCTAAATTACTCGAAGAGTAATGCATATGATGAGAGGTGGAGAAAAGAAAAGAACAAAAAAAATAAACCCAAAAATGCAGTACAGAGAATGATCAAGCAGTACAACTAAACACGTGTTTCATGGCCATCAGCCATGACAGTCTCTTTTGTTTTCGTAGAACTACGCAACAGAAATATCGATCTATACGTCTAACCCAACGAAAAAGAAAAAAATTGTCTCTTTTCTGTAATTAATTCGTGTTTTTTCAGTATGTTAACGACAACTTCTTCTGCATCACACGTTGTCAGTAAAGGCTAGACAGAAAAGAAAAGTTTTACGTAACACCGATATTAAAATAGATGTGCCTCTGGTTTAATCAAACATATTAAACATATATTTATCATGTAGAAATGTATTGTGTCATTATACTTTGCGACTAGAATATAAGATTGGTGCTGTAATGTAATTACCACTGCTTTTACATAACAAAGAATGATTTTATTACAATACAAACATTTTCGTTCTATTCAGAATAGTCGAAAACCTAACTATTTATTAATAGATATAGAATTATTCAAACTTGAAAAAATTTCAAAAAAAGGTTGTTTCGAGCATTTTTGACGATCAATGTTGAGTGTATATCTTTTGAATAATACAAAAAAAAAATTTTCGAGTTTAGATAAAGTTATAGATCTTAAGTAGGCGAATCTAACGTAGTCTTTATAATTGAAATTCTATACACTTTTCGTAGGATTTTAATTTCTTCTTTGAATTTCGCTGATTGCTCATCAAATTTATAAGCTGGTTTTGTTAACTAGTATGTGAAAGATGCAGAAGGTCAGCCTCTTTCTAATGGTGAAAACCGCAGACCGATTGCTCTTTCCGTTGAAGAGTTATTCGAAAAACAACCACCCGCCTTTTATTTTGAAATGAACATTAGTTAATACTGCGCAATAGTGGCAGAAAACTAAGTAACGTAGTATTATAGTGCGTAATTTTTCTGCCTTCAATTCACGTTATTTTGTGTCCTTCAAGCTTTTCGAACGATGAGTAATAGAACGAGTAAAATGACGGTAATATTTTTATGGAGAGAAAAAAGCATTTATTTGATTGACATATCATAATGAATGATAAAATAAGCAAAACGATAATAACATTGTCATACAAAAGAAATCAGATATCTCATTAATATATCATTATAAATGATCGAACGAGCAAAAAGATGATAGCACGTGTTTGAAATTAACAAGGTATCTAAATAATATTTGATCATTAGTTATTTCACGGACACGAGTGAAGGCACACAAGCCAAGCTTATATTGGTAGTGTACATATAAGCAACGTCTTGTTTTTATTTCTATTATACAATAACGTCGGTATATTAGTATTCTTCTGATCGTCAGCACACGAGATTTCGTGTAATACAGAGAGTAAACGTAAGTGTTTTGGAATTGCATTTTCTTCAGAGGACGTTTCTTATCATCAGTATTCAGTGAATTTTTATATTCTTAAATAGCATTACTAAGCTTATATTATATTTTTTTCGTATCATAGTGATAATTTTCCTGTTGGCAAAAAGGTTCTGAAATTCTATATGTAAAGAATAGTAAATGTTAACTGCTATAAAGCAACGCTTGTCAACGAACGTCTGTAGCACAAGTTGTTACTCAGCTTTGTGAAGTCCCACATAGAAAAAAGACTGTTCAACATTATGTTCTTTTACCATTTGGAAAGGTTTGATCACGCTGAAAATTAGATATAGTACTGTCTCCCGGGAGCAAAAAAAGTTAAAAGCTTAAACAATTATATGTAGTTAGGGAAATACATTTATTTCGAAATTTTATCACGAATAGATATAGCGATGCGTAATGTACATAAATACAATCAAATCAATTTAAGTGTTAATAACTTCTTGCATAACAGTCAAAATATGTAAAATATACGATTGAACAACATTTTGAGAAATAGCATCACATGCATTGTCAATTGCTTGTTCAAGTTCCACTTTTGTTTTTGGTTGTTGTCCTTGTACATAATTCTTGAGCCAAGACCATACATATTCAATTGCATTGAATTCGGGCGAATAGCCAGGAACATCAATGAGTTCTAATCGATTATCTTTAAACCATGTTAACATAGCTGGTGTTTTATGTAATGGAATATTGTCCTGATAAAAGAAGCGATTACGACGATTTGATATGTGCGGTAAAAGATGTGTAGTGAGTAGTTGTTGATACAATGATGAATTCATATAACCGTCGTATCTACTAAATACTTTTCCACTCCACCATACCACTCCCCATACTTGAACATGTGTTTTGATATTGTCAACATAATGTGTCGGCCTTTGTGTACCAGCTTTAACCCAAGCAATTGTACCGGTGCTTTGGATAGTAAATATCTTCTCATCAGTAAATAACCAGTTTTTGATATCTGTATTAATGTATTTCTGTGCAAATAATAGCTTTGATTGTTGTTGTGCCGACGTAAGTGACTTTTTAACTATTTGATTATAAGGACGATATCCCAACGCACGACGATATCTTCGAACGGTCCAAATACTAACACGTTTATGTACGACTTGAGATATATCATTTGCAAGAACAGTAGCAGTAGCAGTTGGTTTTCTCTTAATTAATGCATCAAGTTTTTTTAATTTCATTGTCGTTAAGAGATTTAGGACGACCAGTCGATTTACCGCCACTTATTTCTCCTATTTGATCATAATGAGATAAAATCTTACTAACTGTTGCTGGTGTACACTTATGTTGTCGTGCAATTATTTCTAATCTCTTTCCATCTCTTTCTCGTTCCATAATTATTTTAATACGTTCAACATCACTAAAATGGGTCATTTTTGAGTATGTTTGTTCAAAACAGAAAACAAAACAAACAAGACGGAAATGAATCATCCACATATAAAGTTGTGTAGTGTTTTAAATTACCTATGCATTGATATATTACTAGTCCTAGGATAATGTATTATGAGCGCACAGTATGGTTTTGTTTCTTTAACTTTTTTTGCACCCGGGAGTGTACATATAAGTGTTTCAGGAAATTTTTGTAGAGGAATGTATCTTCAACAGGATTTTGGCGAATAATGCGCTTGGGATATTATCGGCAGAACGAATAGTTCTTATTAGATGGCAGCTGTTTTTATGATATCAACAAAATTCGAGTGGATAGGTTTTGCAAAAACCGTGTTTCTCCTAAGATGACGTTGTGGTTAGGATGACCCGAACAATTCTCAAATCATAATAACGAATTGGGGTAATGAGCTCATTTGATGTTTGTGTTATTCGATAGCTCCATGATGACGATAAAATTCATAAAAAATTCTTCAGTAAAAGATAATGGGCGCACAGTTCTAAAAAACAGATGAATTCATTGAAATATTTCCAGCTCTAAAACTTTGATATATATTTTTCAATCACGGTGAACGATCATACGTGTAAAAAGGTTCAATTTTCCCGTAGTTCCATAGGACAATTATAGAACTAAAAAATAATGGTGCTTTACTATGACTACCTGGCGTTTTGCTTGATATCTCTCTGGACTTTTATGACATAAAACGATAGGAATCAATTAAATAAACGCTGTTTGTTGAGTTTTGAAGGCTGTACTCTGTGAATGTACATCAAAGCGCTTCCATTAAAAGACTATAGAGTTAAATAAATATTAGCTTTCATGAATTTTCAAAACTATCCCTGCGTTTCAGCATATTCTTCGAGCTTTTGTAAAAGTACGGACAACTTGTCATGGTATTTGACTTGGGATGATTTTTTGGTTGGCATTAATACTATGACACGTACTATACAATGCTAGACGCATTCTGCAACGGTGCTACTTCGAATAGTTTAAGGGTTAATGCTTAAGCGAAAGCATGCAAGATAATGACTAGTTTTCTTGAAATATAAAGTTTCTATGTAGACCTTTTTACATGTTGCTCGAGTGTCAGCCAAAAAGACGAGTCAGTATTAATGAAAACAGCTCGCAAGTGATTGCTGATAGACTATTGCAATAGTACTATGATGAATTTTTCCTTTTATATCTGCGTTGACCATTTCTGTATTACTTAGTAGAGAATTCAATGCTGAAAGACTTTGGAAAAAATCTGTTTCGACACAATAAAAGCTGATAGAGATATGTGTAGGCATCTCATGTGAGTCATAACGGATTCCAGCGTAAGAAAACATATAAATGGGTAGAATGAAGAACAAGAGATCCTGCTTGAAACTCGAACCGCACATGTTCTGCGATTCGAGCAGATGTCCTAAGCTATTGAGACTAGGAGGAACATTTTAGTCTATATTTAGCGTCGGAGTGTACCATCGTTGACGCTAACAATGTGAAAGTAATAATGGTTGATTGATCCTAACTCCCTTGTTAATATATGTGAAAAAACAAACAGGACAAGGAATCTTCAGACCGAGTATCATCATTCAACTAGCTTAGCTTCTAGGATTGTTCTAGGTATTATTCCGCCATAAAAAGGAGTTACAAGCAGTCAGCAGTTTTATTATTGTATTACTTCAAAGCAGTCTACTCAGTCTAGGAAAAGAAATGAGAAAGTAATGAAAAGAGCAGGAACCGATAGGTTATCACATGCAACACATTCAAAATTCCGTAAATTCGTATGATTCACAAAGTTTGTCTGTTATTTGCAATCTCTTCTATATTCTCCAAGTTAGTTTCTACGTTAATGGAAAGTTATTTGCAAATGGTAGAAAAACACTTGAATATATGTATGTTGAAGCAGAATATGATGATAGGGATGTCCGTCCGGGTGCCGGATTCCCCAGGAACGAAATCCATTCGGAGGTTCGTTTACGAACGTTTCTGATTATACTGAGACATATGAATGTGCTTAGGAATCCGGAAATCCACTTGAAAATTTGTTTTCATGCGTGTTTGATCATGTTGAGATTTATGGGCGTAATTATGCATTCAATCTGTATTGAGTCGGTATGGGTTTTCAGGTTCTCTGGGATGGAATTCATTCCGGATTGAGGGTGTGGGTGTTGAGTGTAGGGTGTGGGTGTAACTGTAGTAAGAAGGACTAACACCCACACCCACCCTTCTGTCTTTAACACATTAGTTTTTGTATTCATACTCTTTCGAGATAGAACAGCGTCTGAACACATTTACTAGACATCTAATGAGTGTTTTTTGGAGTGCAAACGCGTCTGGACACAATCATCAAAAACTTTCCAACCGCATCAAAATGCAGTAGAAGCATAAAACACGCCTAGAACCGGTTAAGAATGTTTTTTAATTGCATTGAGATGCCTTTTATATAAAAATGAATCTAGTCGCCTTTCTAACATTTACTTACTTGCCTCTAGGCGAGTTTCATATAAATTCGCAGCCAGATGCGTTGTAAAGTTGTTTTTAACCGCATATGGACACACTTTATAACAAAAACGCGTTTGAGCGCGGCTATCTTGTGATTGATATTTATATGAGAGCGCGTTTGCATGCGGTTTCATAGAAAACCGCGTCCAGCCGCGATTCAAAATTTCTTTTGATCGTGTCTATACGCGCTTTATCTGTAGCCGCATTCAACCGCGGTTAAAAACCGATTTTAGCTGCGTGCAAACGCGATTTCATTTACCAACGCGGCAAGACGCGCTTCGAAAATTTCATTAACCGCGTATACACGCAGTGAAAATCGATTTTAGCCGCGTCTGAACGCAGTTTACAATAAAACCGCGGTGGAACGCATATATCCTGCTTTTGGTATTTACGTGGGACAGGATTCCATCAAAAATCCTTAGCGGTTTGCTTGTTTTTTTAGAGTGTGAATTATTCAGGACATAAGATGTCGTTTTCTGTCTGAATGCGAATTCATCTTATGTTGACTAACAGACCATTCCAATCTTTTCAGTGATTTTGAAGGAAGTGAATATGGCTTCACACGTGCATCTCCCTCTGGTACGATTGCCTAAGACACTAAACAGCTCCCAGATTAATCAAATACCGAAATTAGTCAAGCAGGATTCATCGAAGCTTTTCACTTGTCGATATTCTTTCAAGTTCACCTTGCTAGTAATAATCTGAACGTTTGAGACCCATACGAATGGTCTTATATTTTAATTCAGTTCAATGTTTGTTTTTACATCGATTACTAACGATCTTTTCGCGCACTCTCAGCATTTTTCAGATGTTTTTAGTTAGAAAACATAGAACTTTGTATTTGAACAAAATTAATAGCTGCGCGAAGTATTTCAGTGGGAACTCAAGCACTAGTAGGGCAAAATTTCGGGCATTTAAATCAGTCTCAGTGAAGGAGTAGGTGTTTCGTCATTACATGGTTATCAGATGGGTTTTTTCGAGAAAATAGTCATTTGAGTATAAAGACTAATCTTTTTCAAGGTCTTTTTGAAAATTTTACCGCAAAGTTGAATTAGAAAACCACCCTGAAAACTTTGTGCGATAAGACATATTATAAGGCTTCTTCTAGTACGAGGATATATATGTACTGTAATGTCAGAAAGTCAAATTATGTCTGTAATTGTTTTGTTTCTTGGTTTAGTCAAGGATCCCGTAACATTCTTAGGGATCGTTCAGGGAATAGCAACCTTCTCTGTGATGAATATAGAAGTCGACTTGATTTTCTTTTTATAAAATACTTACCCTGGCAGTTGTCCTTGTAATTAGCCTAAATATAAAATACATAACTAAATGTTACAATTAGTTATCATTCTGCTTATTCTTACGATTCATCTAAAGAAAAAAGAAGATTAATTTTTTCAAAACAAATATTCACTGCCAGTTTACAGAGTGGCCCAAAAGTTCGACCGAAAAACAAACTTGAATATTTTTTTTAACAGTTTAAGCAATTTTTATGAGCTTTGTATAGTTTCATTCTATATTTTTTGAGGCTTGAATTCATGTAAAATTTGTCTCTAATAACCTGCATGTAAAAAGCCTTTGCATAAAATATATGTTCAATTTTCTTTCACTTAAAGTTTTCAGGAGAGAATCAAAATTAGTCAACTGAAATGAGAATTTCATACTCTTTCTGAATATATATTACGAATCTTTTTTGAGTTAAAGTTAAGCCAGTAAGAGCGAATCTTCGATTGGAACAAAACAAGAACGTTTGTTCAAAAGACTAGTTTTGAAGGTCTAAGTAACCATGTTTACTCATTTTTCGGATATTAAGCGCGACTTGAAGATTATCAAACATCTTTTCGAATATATTCTTCGCACTCGGCCCTGACTTGTGACTATTTAGCTATAAACAAATACCGAAATAAATAAAAATAGTCGTTTGTGCCACGAGAAATAAGTTTTTTCTATGATGTGCAATTTCTCGACAGGTTATTTTCGTATAGTTTTTCCTTTCTACTTTTGTAGAGAATTTTATACTGTACAAAATCATGGGTTTCAATAAGTAATATCTCAGAACAGTCGAAATCAGAAAAACAGTTTTCTGAGTGTCGTTCTGTAAATGATATTACATTTTTCAACAGAATCGATTTTTGAAAACTGTGATATGTACAATAGAATAGATTCTAATACTTTTCAACAATATCTGGGAAGCGAAACTTCTACAAATTAGCGTATAAGAAGGCTTTCCTATAATTAGAATTGAGGCACTTTTAATCAGTGTACAAATATTCAATACATACAAAATTCTGAATGTATATTTAGAAA